TTGTAACCAATAACGAAGAAACGAATCGATGGCAAAAACTTTATGCTGCCAAAACAGAGAGAGGGGAAGAGAAAGAGCCATAAAATCGCTACCGGCAGTTCGGTAATCGCCGGATTGGGGCAGGGAAAAATCCCCGGAAAAGTCGGGGGCGAAAATTCCGGGGGGCTAACTGCCAGCACGACTTTCACATTCATGATTTACGATGCGTCTCCGCTGGGCAACCGGCAACCGAGGCCACTGCCATTCCCCAGCCAGGTGGCACAAATCAATGGGCTCCTCCGTGCTTTCCTCCCATTGTCTTAGCCGGAGATCCCCGCGCAATCCAATGCACATCTCGGGCATTAATCAAGCATAAAAGTGGAGCAGACAGAGCAACCGAATTGGTAATAAGGCTCTGCTGCGATAAGCTCCCGAGGATATCATACTAATAGACTGAGGGTCCGAGGGCAATTCCATTCGAAGTGATTATACCTCGACTCCTCTTTTCCTTCCCCTGCCGCAATTGTTAATATCTAAGCCGGAAATTGCGAGAATTTCAAAATTGTTTCACTTGGCCAGCATCTTTAATTAGCAGCGTTAATTAAAAGCGAAACGTGTAATTAAAACGAACCGCAACGAAACAAAGGCACAATAAAATGTCACTCTAATTGGCGTGCGCAGGTCATATTGCATAAAAACCAGAAATAAATAAAACACTCAACTGGCCTATGAATATAAATTGAAAGTGAAATGGAGAGGCGGAAAAAATGGAATGTAAATAGACCGTTTGTATCAATTAAAATAAAGGCCAAAGAACATAAAAAGAAAAGAGTTTATTAAAGGAAATGACAATATTATTTTAAAGTGCTTCATTAAATTGGGAATATAAAGAATATAAGCTTAAGTAAAAATTCCCAAAAGGATTTGATATTAAGGATTTAAAACTTAAACTATTGAATCGCTAAATCCAGTTGGATAATCCCGATCATCCCATTCCCATAATTTCACTAAAAACTTTTGAAGAACGGCAAAACTAATAAAATAAATTATCCCGAAAGGCTATAAAATAAGCTTAATCAATAGAACATCTAATATAAATCAAAACTTTACAGAAAATGTATATAGAATATTTATTGTCCATGGTAAACAAATTGAATTGCCTGTTTGCGGATATTATAATTCCAGAAATTATATTTTCGCTGGGTAATACAAATGTATTTTGAATTTGTAAAACCAAAGAACATCTGTTTTCTAAATGCTAAAATGCAAATTTATGCCGCTTAAATACTATCAAAATTACCAACATCTCTAAATGTATACTTTTTAGTGACTATGTTTAGCAAAAAATAATTAAATTTCCAAATTTAAGGCCAACATTATATCATAAATAATAATATTATGCCTCGGCTGCTGCAATCTTTATTAATTGCATTGCAATGAACGTTGGCATTTTCGCACATATGGCAGAACAAAAAGGGCCAAGAAATGTCAACCGGGCAGAAGCTCACACCCAAATGCAATATATATATAGTCAGAATTCTCGGAACGCATCGCCTGCGACGTCATTGTCATGAAATGCACAAATTTATTGAGAGCATGTCGCACAGTATATAGTATACTATATAGTATATGCATTTCAGCACAACGTCGTCCCTGCCGGCACTTGATATAATTTTAGTACTCCTTGTTTATATTTTTAGTGGCAATTCCAATTACTCCTAGTTGTCAAGGAGCCGGGCTCCCAGAAATAGCAATTTAAATATATAAACTTCATATATAGGTAAGTGCTTGTAGCAACTCTGTGTATTTATACATTTTTGAAGGGCTGGCAAAATGAGCACTTAATCATCCCTCGCAGATTTAATTAAATGCAGCAAAATAACAATCCTGCGAGCAGGCAGCGATATTAATCATACGTCATGTTGTCAGCTTTATGAAAAGCCTGCATAAATCTCTGCCAAGCCGCAGAATGCAGCCTGGTGTAAAAAAGTGCATGTGTGGGCGCTGGCTGATGGCAAATTGTTTCAAATGTGCGCAATTTAAGCGAAATTGAGAAACCAAAAGCGGAAAAATAAACGATGAGGGGAAAGGGACCGGAGCCTTTTCCTTTTGACAAATTTCGAAAAAACCCGGCAGCATTCGGTGGTGTGTGTTGTAATAAACTGGCAATGCCAAAAAAATATACAAAAAGTCATACAAAAAAGGGGAAAGAAAAAGGGGCCGAAAAAGAGAGTAAACAGCAGCAGGAACAAATGGCTCGTTTGGCTAACCTTTTCTGTTTGGCTGCCCTGCATTGCTTTTGTTTATAGAAAAGTTTAAATTGTGTCAATTTTTTTTCGCCGTTCCGTGGCCCGCGCAATGCAGAAAGTTTTGCGAACAAATGAAATGTGGGTAAAAACAATTTCCGAAATCAAGACAAGGACGGCGACTTAGGACCACCGAAAAAAAGGGTGGGGATAAAGCCAACAAAGTGTGTTTTACGATGTCAGAGGATGGAGGATGGACCCCGAGAGATCCAAGCAGCGTGAGATCTCGAGGACTCCAATGAAATTCGCGTATTTTCCTATTCATTTCCCGGGGAGAGTCGGTTACAACATAATACCCTAATCGGGAAGATTGCGGCTGTCCACCTGATGGGACAGCCACCATAGATATAAAGCCTTCTATCAGAATAGTTTTACTGCTCTTCACAGTTCACTGCGGTCCACTGAAGCGAAAGCGTTTATTTTTTGTTGAAATATTGATGACATAGGGGAGATTTACAGTTTCAGCACACAAAACTGCGAAATATAAGCTTGTGTAAATATATTGGAAAAATGTCATCACTGTGTCGCATTTGATTACATTTAATTGAATGCCCAAATAGCAAGGACTTTTTGTATAAGTGAATTATCTTGTATGTGAAATCTAAATAGAGATTCCATTGGGCGAAAATCAAATGAATTAAAGGTTAAAACTTTAATTTGGAAATTAAATTAATGTACAAAAAAAAACAGATTAAACAAAAATTATATATTTCAATCCATTAAGTGGAATACTTTACAAACTAAAAGGACATTAATGAATGCATTGTCATATAAATAATAAAGAAGCTTTTCATTAGTCCAAAAATCAGATCGATCGATATTATTAACCCTTAAATACATTAAACTCCCCCTAATGACTGAGGTGCTTCTCTCATCGCCCACCTTAAAAAACACCTAATTTATTGATTTATGTATTCAGTCCATTTGGGAAATTAGGTTTCAATCATTTCCAATTGATTTCTTTGTCGCCACCGAGAAACTTTTCTGGCAACTTTCAGCAGGAAAATAGTTTTGGCGAAACGGGGGAAAAGTCCGTCGAATGGAATGCAAATGCTTAGTATCCACTGCCAAACTAATTTGTGGTAACATGTGGGGGAAAAGCCAAAGCCAAAGCCAAGATAATACAATAGAAGCGACTCAAACTTGGTTGGTGGGCTTAGTTGGGTAGCCAAAAGAAAACTTTGGCTGGCCCAGAAATTAAAGTCAATTACTGGGGTGTGGAGATTGAGAAGAATCCGAACTTCTGCACAAATTTCGAGCTCCGGTGGGATCGACAACCGTTGCACGTGTGTGTGTGTGTTGGCCAGTTTGGCAATATAAATGACGATAAATTAATTATCGGCCGATCAAGTCATTGTCGCCATTAATTATGGCCCAGGATGCTTGGCCCAACGGCCTTTTAATAGTTTTTCACACGCCCCCGGGACTTGGGACTCGGGACCTTCGGCAATTAGGTGATGTGGAGATGTGTTCGAGGGCTGACGAATCGAGATGAAATATGGCGTGAATGGGCCGAGGTTTTATGACAATGTTTGCTGCCTGAATAACGGCAGCATCGTCTGGGCCATGAATTTAATGCGCTGCAACAGTTAATGATTTTATTGGCACTCCGCTCGCAACTTGGCAACATCTTGGGTGGTTTGGGGGGATGGAAACTGGGGACCGTAAACAGTCGGGACTGGAATTTATGACTTGGCCTCATGAATATAATCAATGTCAAGAGCGACGCCAAGTGTCGTCTGGGGGATCGTACTCTGGAATACCCCATACCCATAGCCATACCATCATTTCTGCCCCCCAGAAATCTGAGTGCCCTGACCAGACGACGAATCCGGATAAGCTGTAAACGAAGTCGGTCAAATCGCTCGCCAGGCTTAAATGGCATTTCAATTTGGCACTTCCGTTTCCGCCACATTCCCCATCTCTTCTTCCATTCGATTGGCACAATTCTTTGTCCGTAATGTCCTTGCCAGCACTTCTGAGGTCCAAAAACACGCTCACTGGTCCACTTTTGCAGGCCCTGCTTGGCATAATCCTTAGCCGTTTTTACGCCACAACTACGAACACTTCGATCCGTCGCCCAATAACACTTTACATTTCATTTAACTGCTGTTTTTGGGTTCAAAAACCAATTCAACACTCTTCTCGCAGCGTTTGCTGAATGCGCGCGTTCAACCAATTCGTTTGAAAGTCCCAATGTAACTGAAACAGTGGCCAACGGCGTGGGCCAAACACAAAAAACAATGCTACGCAGATGGAAGCTCGCCGGAAGGACTTTAAAGGACGAGCGTTAAAAGCTCCTCTTCAAATTTAAAAGTAACCGACAGTGGCGCTAGCTTGCAGCATCTCACTGCTGTTAAACTGAGTTTTCAAGTCTGGCAGCGCTTGTGGCATTGTATTCCTCTAATCTGGCAACTCTCTGTTTTATCGAATTTAAAATTGGAAAAAAATCGCTTTGGAATTTAACGGTAACTTATATTGCTAATGAGAGATTTAATATTTTCATAATTTATAACACTGTCTAATAATCATTTGAATTTTTAAAATCAGAAACAAAAACAATGGTGTGATATGGAACATCTTAGTAAAAGCTATCGAATGCAAATTATCGAATAGACATTAAAAGGTCCTAAAATTGGATGTGGTATTTTTGGTAGTATATAAATACCGGAAAATCCCAACTTCACAGTTACGCTTGCGCATTGTAGACAGTTTACAATTTTAATTACCGATTTATGCACAGTAAATGGCTTAAAAGAAGCTTAATAATGCCAAAACGCAGTTATTAACCGTGTGAAAATGGGCTTCCACCCAAACACAAGTCATCTACTAGTTAAATAGAGGCCTAGAAAAGTGCAACAAAATACGCCTGGCAGCTAGTGCGCGTGTGTGTGTGCCATTGATTACATAGTTGGCATAGGCCACGCACAGGTGCGAGCGAGAGGGAGAGCCTGTAATCTGTAATCCGAAAAGGGGCAGCAACATAAACCGCATTCCATTTCCATTTCCACAAATCCAGGTTGCAGCTCCATGAGAAAGGTGCGTATGTCCAGATGTGGGCTACTTGCCACTTAACCAACACTCCATTTTCCCACCAGTGAGCGCCATGCACCACCATCATCCGCCTTTGCCCATAACCGGAGCAAGTGGCTCCTCGAATGCAGAGGGAGTTGCAGCAGAGGATCCACCAGCTGCTGTGGCCACCGGATCAACCCAAATAGCCACCTCCTCGACGGCCTCAGGCTCCAACACCCAACAGCATCAGCGGCGCCGCAAGAAGCGACCCAACTACAACTACAATGGCATCCGCACCGTGGAGGTGCGACGTGGCTACAACGGCTTCGGCTTCACCATCTCCGGTCAGCAGCCCTGCCGGCTGTCCTGCATCATCAGTAGCTCACCCGCCGAACAGGCGGGCCTGCGTTCCGGTGACTTTCTCATCTCCGTCAACGGACTCAATGTCTCCAAGCTGCCGCACGAGACCGTCGTCCAGCTGATAGGCAACTCCTTTGGGAGCATACGCATGCAGATCGCCGAGAACTACTACTCGGACAGCTCGGATGAGGAGAACGCCCAGGCCACGCTGAGGGGTCAACTGCTGGCCGCCAGTTTGAGGCACAAGCCGAGGTTCCTGCACCACAAGGCCAAGCTCCACAGGCTAAGAAACTCGCCACAGAAGAAGTTAAGTCCACCCGAGGCAGTGGAGACTACCAAGGCATCCCCAGATCACCCGACACTGCGTCCCGTGCTGGAGGATGCCCCCCTGGCGGCCAAAGCAGCCGATGTGGCCAATGTCAGCGCCATGGTGCGTGCCGTGGGCAGTGCCGCCCTGGAGTATCGGGTGATTGTGGGCTATCTGGGCACCATTGAGATGCCCAAGCAGATTTCGCACAGCTCCAAGCTGCAGACAGTGAGGTCCTGCATACGCAAGCTGCGCCAAGAGAAGCGACAACCGACCATTGTGCTGATGTGCATCACGCCGGACAGCCTGAGCCTGCAGAGCGCCGGCGGCGGCGTGCTGGCCACCTACTCCTCGGCCAGGCTGAACTTTGTGAGCTCCTCCTCGGAGAGCGAGAATCGTTTCTTTGGCCTCGTGACCAGCGCCGTGCACAACACGCAGATCGAGGAGGAGTACGAGCCGAGTGCTGCCGCTGGCCACATCAGCATCTCGCACAGCTGCCATGTCTTTGTCATCGACACCAAGCTCATTGAGCACGCCCAGCACTTGCAGCGAGCCCATGAGTTCCGGCTGCAGTGCACCAGGGATCCCATCTCGAATTTGTGCCTGGAGTTCCCCAACAACTCGGAGTATGTGGTGAATCTGGTGCGCAGCATGTACACCATGCGTATTCTGCCGCCGGCCAGTCGGAGTCACCAGGCGGACTACGAGGTGGGTGGAGGAGGAGCCGCTGGAGCAGCTGCCCACTCGCCGCAGCCGTCGAACCACAGCGAGATCTCCACCACCACCTCCAATTCGGATTCGGGTATTGGCTTCAACAACGATTGCACGAACATCTCGGATCGCATTCTGGTAGTGGATTTTCTGGGTGCGGGAGCGGGAGCAGCCCATGCTGGGCCACCTGCCCATCCGGCGACTGCTCGTCCGCTGGGCATCGTGGGCATCCCAGACAACCGACTGACTGTGCGGGCCATGCCCGATCATGCTGCGCTCCTCACATCGCCGCCAATCTCACATCGCCCCAATCTCCTGGCCAGCTTCAACCTGATCAAGAGTCCCGCCACGAATCTCACATCCACGCGATCCTGCGATGATGTACTCAATCTCTTCGTGGACGATTCGCCGCGTGCCTTGGGTGCCGTGGCCTCCATGGACGACATCTCGCTGCACTCGGCTGCTCCTTCCCTGGATGAGGGCCACACATTCGCCCATCCAGCTTGTGTGCCCCGCAAAATGCGCAGATCTTTGCTTGCGGAGACCCCAACAACGCCGCATAAACTGAGTGCCCAGGTGTTTGGACAGCCTGGTTCGCGACACTCACTGGGATTCGAAGCCATCGACAGCGTGCAGTCTTCGGTCAGTGGGGCATGCATCGATCAGCCCATGGACACGTGGGCCAGCCTACAGAATTTGCATAAATCTCACAAGGATCGCAACAGCCTGTCTGCCTCGTCGTCCTCACATTGCCTTTTAGAAGCTACGAACAGTGAACCAGATTTGGGGGTAAGTGGAATTTTATATTATCTATAATTGTATTATTTGATATTGGAGACTGAAAATGAGTATTATATATATTGATCTTTAGTAAAGTTCAGATTTTTAATTTCTCTACAATTAGGCCCCTGTGGATAGGAATAAAAGAAATAGTTATTTTTGTCATACAAATTTCCCAATCGCAGTGGCCTTTTAGGAATAAAACTTACCCTATATAATTACTAGACATCGGATTTTAGGTGAAATCGTTTTTGTTTAAATACAATTTTAAGCCACATTTGAATAGATACAAATTTTATTTATTAAGGTATAATTAATTAATAATAATAATTAATTATAATTAAAAATCTGTGATTTTGTTATTTAAAATTATAATACCTTAGAATACCCTTTAAAAAGGCATATATTCAGGGCAGACTGCATGAACTGTATAGATTCTGATTATTAGCACCATCATACAAATATTCAAAACAATTTATGCTTAATTTTTAAGAAACTTAGGGCCGTTTTCTCGTCTATTTGTTAAATTTAAAGTAGGGTTAAAACCTGGAAATCGTGTGGGAAATCAGAGTCTTAACCCTACTTTAAATTTAACAGGCGGATAAAAAAACGGCCCTTATTAGTTTACTTTCTGTCCAAATTTTGGACCCTCGCTATTTCTGAACCGTTCCTGTAGGCGGGCAAAAAATCTGTTTACCTGGACGCCGCTCCAAGTTACCTGCGTTCTCGGAGCTTATCGCTCCACACTCCTCTCTGGGCCCCCAGATAAGGGGCCAAAACTGAACTCTCCGACACTCTCTGAATCTGGTGGGCCATATATCGGCGATTCCTTTGTCAGTTTACCCGGAGTTTTAGTAGTCACAGCGAGGCTTTGGCAATAGGTGGCCACGGTTCCGCTTTTAGCTCTTCGCTATCCGATTTCGATTTCTCGGTTTCACTTGCGTTTTACAGCCGTACCGTTACACTGTAGCTGCGATCGCTATTATCGGGATCTGGGGGTCCGAACGCGTCATGGGCGATAAGGGCGGAAATCGCCGGCTAAAAATAAAGTGCTTCGATCCAATGACGTCATGGGCGTAGGTCACGACTGAAGCCGAGCGGTACATGTACTTCTCTGTAGCTCCTACCGAGCGGCTGCGTCGACGCCTCCGCCAATTCCTCTGCCCTGGGAGCTTAATTCAATCTAAAGCAATTAATGGCGTCGACGTCGGCTGACCTTTTCGCTCCTCCAGCAGCCCCACAATCCCCCGATTCCCCCGATTCCCGACGGTTATTCGTAATTTAGTTTGATTTTCGATTTGACAACACGCGATTTTTTTGTACGATTTTGTGCGACTTGGTCGCCCGTTGCGGCGGTTTCACTTTCGTCGTCGCTGTATCTTCGATTATTATTTGTTTTGTTCCATACAGTGCATATTCAAAAAAATATATAAAATTACCGTCGCGAAAAGTTGCTCCATAAAAAGTTCAACGCCAGTTCAAGGAGCCCCGTCAGCAGTTGTGACTGAAATAAATATAAATAAATTGTCATTACGATAAAACAAGAAAAAACGTGTACAAATCGCAAGTTCAATTGTTTTATGCAGGCAAACAAAAGGCATCTCGATGCGAAAATGTCACTTCGAGAACTCGTTTGTGGCCTGTACTCCGAGGACAAGGAGATGGAGGTAAGCTGGCGACACGTATATCTCACACTTATCGGTTCCCACTTGATGGATGACTCCCCCTAAAGCAAACTTGTCGGGGTACTGGGAAATCTACCTCTAATTATGCACCAGTCAACTGTAATTGTGGGGAGGTTTGAAATCCCCTCTATAAAAAATACAAACAATATTAGTCACATTTTGTGTCCGTTACTATTACGATATTTACTTAGTTTTATGCTTGGCTGACTTCTGTCCGATTCACCCTTATATCACAACGTTCCTTATCCCACTCACCACAAAAATGACTAAAACTACGAAGTCTTTTTTCGAAATACTACGTACATTGCACATATATGTTGTTTGGAATTAGTAATCTCGTTGATTTTTTGTGTGCTGAGGCTTTGTTTTGTTTGCCTATTTCAGCACGTTCTTACACCATAGATAGAATGCTCTATTTCTTTTCTCATGGTCGCAATCACCAAACAGTGCTTCTTTTGTTTGCCGATCTGTGACACCTGGTAAAGTGTTAATTTTATTACATTTCATGAGTTGGCTTCCCATCGTCAGTTGAAGATAGTAAACGGTGACCCTGATCCTTACTTAAGCTTGAATGAAGTATGACCCAGATCTAAGTTGACTTTCCCTATGTTAATTGTGATTTTCAAATATTTACATTGCCCTAAACCTAATGTATACACATCAAGATAATCGAATAAACATCTGTCAATATCTATCTATGATATAGTACTTTGAAATCGATCCATCATTTCTTTACCTGATAAATTCGTGGTGTATATTAGTAAGGTACCTAATGGAATGCATTAAATTAATTAAGTTTCTGTAACTTTACAAGTACTTTCCTAGTTTGTTAGCTTAGTTTTAAAGATTTCAATAACGATAGCCAGCTGGGGACTAATGAGTAAGCATGTCAAGTGCACTTTTGCGAGTTGACTTATTTTTAGTCTATCTAAACACGCAATCGGGGAAATAGTTGGCCGGGTGTTCCAACAGGTTGACTCTGGTCTGTCGGCATTTTGGCGGTAACCTGCTTGGGTTTCCCTTGAAAAGGTGGAGTGGCACATGCCGTCACAGGTGCAAGGGAAAACAACCCTCGTGCTATAGGGAATTAGGTAAAGAAAAAAGGAAAAAGAAAAGAGATGGGGTGACCCGCTAAATGAACGTTACTTAGCTTCCTTCCTGGCCAGTGGATCGTCATGGGAAGTGGGTTCGAGTCAAACTCTTGTCTTTTGCCTATCTGGCAGGTTGATTTTTGTACTACTTCGTTGGGTAATTTAAGTTCTGTGCATCGGTTAGCCACGATTTGGCCTCTGTATGCGACTTCTATTACCGAGGCCCAATGAATTCATAACGTATTTACCAGCTGACGCTGTGGGAATGGGAAAACCTCCAAACTAGCTGGCCAAATGTATTTATCAGATACGTCAGACGTGTAATTTTCGCTGGAAATTATTGTCTAAAGTTGTGTCGATGCGATCATCGGTCTTATCAGTATGACTGGCACTCAACCCAAAATCCAAAATACCAAAGGCCAAATGGCAACACAAATGGCAAATGACAAACAAAATGTTTATTTTTAAAATGCATTATATTTAGCTGATCCAACATAACCGTATGGTATATGGTATGTGTGCGATTGTTTTTGTGCTTTCATGTTTTGATAGCAGCGAAAATAAGAGCGATCACTCTATATGGTGTATGGTATGGGGCGGTCCGAAGTACATACGTCAGAAATGCCGAAAAGCCGCTAATAATAAACACCTTACGCTCCAGGCACGTAACCTGCCAATTGATATGACCCAAAGCAGTTGTCTAAAAAAACCCAACCGAAAAGGGCCCTAGGCGATCTGATGATACGCTACGGACTTGTTCTGTCATTAAAGTCAATCTATGTATAACCTGAACTATACGTGGAAATCTGTTAAGGTGCTAGATTTATTTTAAACAATTTTTAAATGAAAATATCTTTGCGCAAGAAAGCTAATATTTATCCTGTTTGCTTGAACAATTTGCCATTTTTAAAAAGCATAAACCCACAAAATTATCTTTGAAAATCCTGTTCATACAATCTATTTATTCTGATTTGTTATGTACTTTTAATTATGGTTTATTTTTGGTTTTTTCTTATTAGTAAAACATGGAAAAATATTTTAAAGTAAATCTTTAATAAATTTTACAGTCCCTTGGAAAATTCCCAGTCGAAATGGAATATTTTTTTTACATATTTTTTGCGGTACTTCTCTTTGTTTTTATGACGTAGTAAACTTTTAATTATTATCATTATAACCTTACTGACTAATTTTAGTCGATTAACGTTTTTAGGATGGGCTCTTAGCATTGAGTGACTTATTTGAGCGTAATAAAATTCCATTAAACCTTTTTAACTTAACATCGTAAATATATGTGTAATGATCGAATTTCAGGGTATAAAATCGTTATAAAATTGCATGCAGTTTCGAATTTATGCAGTCAGCAAGTGCCAGGAAAACACCTGACTCTGCTGTTCAATTTCCACCCTGATGTCGGTCTTTATGTTCAGGTTTTAGTGACTAACCGATCGACCGACAGCAACAACAACAACAAAGAGCTAGAACGGCGAAAGCGGCCGAAACCGCTTGTAAACCGCCCCGCGTTGAAAAACGCGCGCACGCGCTCTCTTCCTCTCACTCACTCTCATTCCGCAGCCTGAACAGCTGCTTTGTTGCTGTTTCAGCTGCTTATTGCCATGGGCAACGTGCTGTTGCTTTCCATTTGAGCCAGGCTAACAGCGACCTAAACGTCGAACGTCGCTCAGAAACTCTGAGTCAGTCATCGAGCGCAGTTCATTCGATCACATCGCATTTGGTTACACAATAAAAACCGAATCTCAAGTTTAATTAATAAGTTTAAATTACCTAGTTAACTGGGCCAATTACCTGGCACCACAATCCAAAGTGTATGTTAAAAAATCCACCATTATTTACCAAATGAAAATAAATCACACGTTTGAAAATTAAATCACAAATAGGATAATCAAATGACACAAAAATCAAATAATAAATCACTTGCTGAACTCCTCGAATTACCTTGGACCCAAAAACATACAGTGAATGCTAAAAAATCCATCAACGCCTCCCCAAAATAAAACCTCGCACTCTCCCATCAAATATTGGCTGGATAAATAAAAACAGCCAGTCAATTGAACTTTTGTGGCCTGTTTTCTGTGTTTGTGGCCCCGAAAATAGAATGTGCTAAATAATATACAAATTAAGGGGAAACAAAACGAAATGGAAATGTTTTCTTCGTTTCATAAACTGTGCGAATTCCACTGCCCACAATCACACGCATTGAAAACATTCCATTTCA